TATTTGATATGCACAAAAAAATTCACATTAAAGTTGGACAGATGGATTTTCTGGAAGACAAAATGTGCTGGAAGCAGGTGATGGAGTTTGTACACATAAACTATGATGTGTTTGGACCATTTTGACACTCAAGATGAGGTGCTGTACTGAGAAGTTGACAGGTTTTGTCCAGTTAATCCAAGAATGGAACTCAGAAGCATTTAACCCACTATTGCTCAAAATATGGCATACAGAGGCTGCTGGTGTTCATTATGTAAGATACTGTACTCATTCTATGCTAAAGATAAAACCATAATGTAGATTACGGAAACATGCAATCTAAGGATGGGTATCGTTAACGGTATTACTACTCTTACCGATACTGCTTATCGATCCGGTACTTTAATGGTATTCTTATCGTTATATATATATATATATATATATATATATATATATATATGAATGAGACAAATTAAGATTATTACATTTATAAGATTATTATACTAATTAACATTGCTTTATATATAAAAAAATAATAAAACATCAATTTGTAAATGCATCAGTGTGAAGGCATTTTTAGTGTTTTATATACATAAGACACAGTAAGAACATGAATAAAGAGATAAAGTAAAACAAACTGATAAAACAAAAGATACAAATGAAATAAACAATGCTTTAAATTTTCCATGAAGGTCTACTAACATTACTGTTCAGGTAAGTAATATAGCATACAAAAGAAATCAACTAAAGTAATCTAATGTAAATGAACACTGCATAGTTTCCACTGTATGAATTGATAGATTAATGGTTATTAAAGCTAACGTTATTCAGATTGAGAGCTGTGAGTGATTTTCTCTTCGCATTTTGTTGTTTGATTAACATTGATGGCCCAAGCGCCAGTCACTGCTGTCACTTTAAGACAATATTGACACACATCGGATTTTCTCCCAGCTGTTCACGTCCACTTAAGACATAAACTGTGTTTAAGTGAACACTCTCCAAGATGGCCATATTGACATATTTTGTGTGTATTTGATCGCATGGACATGCACCTGTCACCCAAAGCCCAAAGTGTAATTTGCTTGTCTAGTTGCGGTCCGTATTGGAGTGCATGCACACATTTCAGCCTGGGGAACAGCGTCTCTTGCACGGATTATTGTGCTTTCAACGTTTTATTATCAAAGATTATTACATTTATAAGATTATTATACTAATTAACATTGCTTTATATATAAAAAAATAATAAAACATCAATTTGTAAATGCATCAGTGTGAAGGCATTTTTAGTGTTTTATATACATAAGACACAGTAAGAACATGAATAAAGAGATAAAGTAAAACAAACTGATAAAACAAAAGATACAAATGAAATAAACAATGCTTTAAATTTTCCATGAAGGTCTACTAACATTACTGTTCAGGTAAGTAATATAGCATACAAAAGAAATCAACTAAAGTAATCTAATGTAAATGAACACTGCATAGTTTCCACTGTATGAATTGATAGATTAATGGTTATTAAAGCTAACGTTATTCAGATTGAGAGCTGTGAGTGATTTTCTCTTCGCATTTTGTTGTTTGATTAACATTGATGGCCCAAGCGCCAGTCACTGCTGTCACTTTAAGACAATATTGACACACATCGGATTTTCTCCCAGCTGTTCACGTCCACTTAAGACATAAACTGTGTTTAAGTGAACACTCTCCAAGATGGCCATATTGACATATTTTGTGTGTATTTGATCGCATGGACATGCACCTGTCACCCAAAGCCCAAAGTGTAATTTGCTTGTCTAGTTGCGGTCCGTATTGGAGTGCATGCACACATTTCAGCCTGGGGAACAGCGTCTCTTGCACGGATTATTGTGCTTTCAACGTTTTATTATCAAACATGTCCCGCAATTTAGCAACAGTAAAGATGGCATTTTACAACAACGAATGTGCCTGTGTGTCTGTTAAGAGAAGGAAGTTGCGCTAGACGAAATGCTGCTAGTTGTTAATAGTTTTACCTCATATCTTTTTTTTTTTAGAATCCTTAGAAGCCAAAATCAAAATCAAAAATAAAATTAGCTTAATATCACAGCCACAGGCCTAAAGTGTTAGCAGATGTTTGAATGTTTAGTTCACTTCTCTCTCATAATTAAACAGTGCTTTCACGTTGTGCGCGCTGAAGCTGCGAATAGCAAAAATGCATCACAGACAAATGTATTAATATTAATACATATAAAAACAGCTGACAACTCTGGTGAGATAGCAAGTTAATGTATATATAGCAATAACAGGCTGTGTGTGTTTTCCTAATCTCTCCAGTACTGACAGCAAAACTGTTAACGTCAGAGCTTATCGATACTCCAGTCTTTCATAATTTAGCCCCGGGGCCCATTTAATACCGGGTTTCGGTACCCATTCCTAATTATTGCAATCTTTTGTCAAAATGTGCTTACAAAATGTAGAACTCCGCAAGTATTCAAGGTCTTATGGGTATTCTGATAATGTAAGACACTACAATGAAGCTCAAATGTTCCTTTTTTTTTTGCAGTATGACACAAAATTCTAAATACAGTATTTTGTTGTAACAAATGATTGTTAAAGGGGTCATATGATGCTGCTAAAAAGAACATTATTTGGTGTATTTGGTGTAATGAAATGTGTTTATGTGGTTTAAAGTTAAAAAACACATTATTTTCCACATACTGTACATTATTGTTTCTCCTCTATGCCCCGCCTTTTTGAAACGCATCGATTTTTACAAAGCTCATCGCTCTGAAAAGCGAGGTGTGCTGTGATTGGCCAGCTATCCAATGCGTTGTGATTGGCCGAATACCTCAAGCGTGAGATGAAATGTTACGCCCCTCACATACTGTTGATGCCGTGTCCAGGCCGGAGCGATGAGACAAAAACATTAAAACCCATTACAAATGAGGCATTTGTTGCATCCAGTGGGGACATAATTACTGATTATAATGACTTATGCTGTCTTTTTAGGCGTTGCGTTGCATCGCGCCGCGTAAACATAAAACTCTGTCTGCATTTGTGATCAGAGAAATGACAAACAACAAGTGCTACTCTACTGCCCAAAAATCGTGTATGAATCATCAGTGGCAAATCCTTTAAATTAAAACGTACTTACGTGAGTCAGAACTGCCGGCATTTTAGTCTAACATTACTCTCCCAGGATCAGGAAACGGTCCTCCAAAAACTGTGCTGCACACATCTGGATATTTGGGTTAAACTGTTCTGGAACAGTGTTGTAAATGACCTGGAATGAATTCCCAAAAGCATCATTAACCAAGTACAAGTTCTGTATTTGCTAACATAGTTAAAAGATTTGTGTTTCCCAAACCATAGTTCCAGCGAACATTTGCAAACAGCATTACAAATATGTGTGGTTGAAACTACAACTTTCTACCTGTGGTTAGAAGCATTTTTTCTTGTTAGCAGGACATGTGGACTTACACTAGACCAAGCTCTTGAGCACAATAAGCAAGCTAACATGAAGTGCATTCTATATCGTTCATTAGGTTTAATATACAGCGGGGATCTCCAGCCCAGCTCCTACAGAGCTACGATCCTGCAGACTTCAGTTCTAACCCTTCTTCAACACGCCTGCCTGTAATTATCAAGTAACCCTGAACACATTGATTAACATGTTCACATGTGTTTCATTGGGGTTGGAGCTGAAATCTGCATGATGGTAGCTCTCCAGGAGCATGGTTGTAAACCCCTGATATATACATTTCAAGCTATATATTTTAGTGTGTCAACAAACAATGCCATTTTGAATGCTGCTGACTGCATATACAGCCTACGGAAGTGTGCCAGTTACATATTGTAAGCGTGATATAAAAAAAATGATTTCTGTTGTTTTGTGTAAATAAACTATAATCTGAAATCAATATCACTAATGCCATTAACAACAGCCCTATATTGTTGAACCAACATTGTTCAAATTACAGGGATGTAACCATGTTACTATGGTTTAAGGAAACAGTAGCAACTAGCTAGTTAATTTCTCCGGTGATGCATCATATTATGATAGTTAAGTAGCGAGTTACAACATTGTATTGGAAACCACCCCAGGTTAGGGCATGATGTTAGGGCTAATACTGAAAGACTGCCAACAAACCATACGGATCTGAAGAGACCTTGCCAGGGTCTCTAACACTGTGAATATCAAACATTTACAACCCTATTCTCTTTCTGTTGATGGATACAAATTCTGGCTTCACAATACATTACAACAAGAGAGAAGTTGTAGTGATTCTTTCTTTTCCAAGAAAGAATTTTAAACAAATTGGTTACATAATTTTCATTTTTAAATATTTTAAAATATAATTTAAATAGATTTTTCACACTTTAATGAATATCGTATCGCATATCGAATATCGCATTTTTTAACAAGGTATCATGTATCACATTTTTTTTTCAATATCACACAGCCCTAATATATATATATATATATATATATATACACACACACACACACATTATTCTGCAGTTTTTCTACTGAAAATAGACCTGTGTTCATTCTACTACCTTATAAGATTTGTAACTCCACAAACAGTATTGACACTCCTCTGCAGTAACCAAACACCAGCCCAAAGCTGAGCAACCACCAGAGAGCATGCTGCACTGCCAGCTGGAAGTTTTCTTGCACCGGGCACGAGCATTAAAGATTCCCAGAAATTCACATGGTGCAAGGTCAGACGCAGGCCACTGAAGATAACACCTCACTCTGAAGTCCATGACAGACACAGCAGATATAGACCTAAATTTCTGAGAACCTTCGACCCATTATCATGAAGAGTGAATCTGGTTTCTCCAAACAAAGATCTGGACCAAAATCTTTAACATGGCTATTCTTGCAGTGATTATGTTTTATGTTTTGTATGGCTATGATCTTGTGATGTTTGAGTCTACAATCAACTCAGTCAGTCCAAGAGAGCCATGTTCAATGACTCAGAGAAAAGTCTTAAATAAACAAGCACAGTGAAGGGGGATCACAGAACGGTTAAACTTACCTCTGCTACTATTGTCTTCATCCTGAAAGAGAGAGAAGATAAAAGAGTGTTAAAAATGTTTCAAAGACAAATCAAGAAATCAAGAGCTTTGTGGGACTGTACTACTGTTCAAAAGTGTGGGGTCACTAAGATGTTTTAATGTTTTTGTGATTGCTATTGTAGCTCTGTGCAGCTCAGTTTTTCTGTTGGAATCACTCTCTGTTGTTTAAACTGCTAAAATATAACTTAATTCTCACCGTATTTCTGATATTATCTATCAAACTAATTTGACATTGTTCGCTTTTTAACCTAAACCACTAGTGCAGAGCATTAGCATTCAGTTAGCCTGTTAGCTTGTCATTCATGCATACTGATTCTTTTATCTCTCACTCAGTTTCTTTTCTCTCTCTCACTCGAGTTCATCAAACAACTGTGGTAAGTCGGAAACATTCAACAATCATTCTCCATATAGCTAAAGTTGCGAATTCAACTCCTTGTTACAAATATGGTAGAACCATCATTTCTACAACAAAAGACTGCTTAGTAAATAATCTTCCCAATTTGTCTCAATTCCTCAACATATCCAGTAGATCAGAAAAACTTAAGGGTGTAACAGAAACTATTGGCTCTCTCTTTTCTAGCACTTTAGGTGCGGTCACTCCTTCACGCTTAAAGAAGATTAAGGAAAACAGTCCAACATTGTGGTATAGCAAACACACCTAAAGAAAGCAGCCTGGAAAATGGAGCGCAGCTGGAAGAAAACAAAACTACAAGTATTTCGTATTACATGGAGGGAAAGTACTTCTACATTTAGAAAAACCTTAAAAACTGCTGAATCTGCTTACTTTTCATCATATTTAGAAGAAAACAAACATAACTCCAGGTATTTATTCAATACAGTGGCTAAATTAAAGGGGTCATATGACGTTGCTAAAAAATAACATTATTTTGTTTATTTGGTGTAATGAAACATGTTTATGCGGTTTAAGGTAAAAAAAACCACATTATTTTCCACATACTGTACATTATTGTTTCTCCTCTATGCCCCGCCTTTCTGAAACGAGTCGATTTTTACAAAGCTCATCGCTCTGAAAAGCGAGGTGTGCTCTGATTGGCAAGCTATCCAGTGCATTGTGATTGGCCGAATACCTCAAGCGTGTGACGGAAATGTTGCGTCACTTACCATACTGTAATGTCGTGTCCACGAGACAAAAACAATAAAACCCCTTATAAACGAGGCATTTGTTGCATCCAGTAGGGACATAATCACTGATTATAATGACTTATACTGTCTTTTTACGCGTTGAGTTGCATCGCGCTGCGTAAACATAAAACCATGTCTGCATTTGTGACCGGAGAAATGACAAACAACAAGCGCTACTCTACACTGCTCAAAACTCGCATTTGAATCGTCAGTGGCAAACTCTTTATATGAAAACGTACTTACAGGCTGTGAGTCAGAACAGCCGGCATTGTAGGCTACTCTCCCAGGTTCAGGAAACAGTCCTCCGTAAAATGCGTTGCACACACACAAATATTTGGTTTAAACTGTTTTAAAGTGGAATTGCATTGGCATGGTTCAAATCATACTTATCTGACCGTCATCAGTTTCTAGCAGTGATTGAAGAATTATCATATCGTTCACAGTATGTGCAGTATGGAGTACCACAAGGCTTAGTACTTGGACCATTGCTTTTCACGCTTTATATGCTACCCTTGGGAGATATCATCAGGAAATATGGTGTTAGCTTTCACTGTTATGAGATGATACTATATTTATCTATATGTATTTGCGGCCTGATGAAACATACCTATTCGCAAAACTAACAGAATGCATAGCTGATTTAAAAAAACTGGATGACTAGTAATTTCCTACTGCTAAATTCTGCAAAAAAGAAAACAGAGGTGTTTATTATCGGACCAAAAACCTCTGCATGTAATAATCTAGACCACTGTCTAACACTTGATGGCTGATCAATTAGAAACCTAGGTGTGCTATTGGATAGCAAACTTTTCTTTGAAAGTCATGTTTCTAGCGTTTGTAAAACTGCATTTTTACATCTTTAAAATATGAACAATGAACTGACTTTAACTAATAAACTGACTGTTTTCTATTGTCTATATAAGTAAAGGTGACTTCACTGGAAATAATTATCTTATGCTCATCAAGGCTGCAATTATTTGATCAAAATACAGTAAATTATTACTGTATTATTACAGTTATTATTATTATTATTACAATTTCAAGTATGTTTTTTTTTTCTATTTCAATATACAATCCTAATTTATTTCTGTGATGGGAAGGCTGAATTATCAGTCATTACTTCAGTCTTTAATGTCACATGATCATCATGAAAAACTATGAAAACTGTGGTTGGTCAATTCACATGTTGGTCAGATGGTTTCTTTCGTAATAAGCTGCAAAGTGAACCAGCATTTTGAGTAGAAATAACTACCAACAAATGATGCACCAAAATTTTGGCAACCGAAAATATTCAGCCAAAAATACATTTTGTTCTTGGTTACATTTGATATGAAATAAAGTCTCAGTTTTCACATTTTGTAAATTTTATAACAAAATTTTAAAATGTATGTATGTCAAAATTCAAATGAGCTGACACTTTAATGTGACTTGACAGATTTATATTGCCACACCAATCCTCATGAAAGCATTTCAATGTTCATAACTCGTTAGAAAAAAAAATAACAACGGTAGTATTTGCTAAATGTATGCACTATATTACATATTCATTATAGTTTTACTTAATATGATTGTGATGTTGGTATTTAAAGTCCCCCTGTAGTGAAAATCAAGTTGTTTATTTGTCTATGTGGTGTTTTTAATATGCTTTTAGACAAACCATGTGCCAATCTATTAATCAACACCATTGCTGTGTATTTTCTGCTTAAAACTGTAGTTTCCCAAAGGCTGACCCAGAAATAATGTTTGAATCAGCCCTTGGTTTGCTACGTCACAAACCAATAACCAATCACGTCATGGGATCGATTCCTATCAACTAGCATGCAATATATACCAATACCAGCACAAAACCAAAAATAAATCAGAGCAAAAAACCCATGAAGCTGTGGTTTAATGTGAATTTAGAACCACTAACTTGCATTATAACCCGTGGCACCAGTGTAAAAGTAGCCCGGAGTCAGAAGCACCTCTCCCGCAGCGGCGTCTGCACTTCACACGCATATGCTCGCGGGCGCGAATGAACAATCACAAACGGCTGCATTCGAGTCTTCAAGGCATTTTAGGACACAACATCGTCAAGTAAGTAACTTTAACGAATGTTACAGTATTCACTGTAGTTGTTCGCTAGTAAAAACATAGTTTTATCAGTCATTATCCGTGTATGCCATTGTTTTGCGGTTACTACAGTTCAGTGGATCAGGAGGCCCTGGCTGGTGTGACTGAGTGGAAGCGGGACTAATTTGCATATTCATAGATCCGCGTATAGTAAATGAGGCAAGGGTGTAGAGTTACATTCAAGCTATTTTAAGGCATGTGAAAATTATTTTCACAAGAAAAAACATTTAAATATGTAACTTTGCTGATCAAAGATACGTTTTAAGGGATAAAATATTTGACTACAGGGGGACTTCAATGCAAACTTTTATGTACTGATTATTCAATATTTTTGATTAATTAACTAATTATTAAATACACTTTATTTAGGATTTTGGTTTTCGACTATTTGGTTTAAGTAAAAACATAATTTCAGTGCATCACTACTTCCAAACAGGCCCGCAACCAGCTATGAGGCCACCGAGGTTCGGACCTCGGTAAATTTTTCATGTTCAAAAATACAATTTGTTCTTTGAATGACTAATTTGCTGTTAAACTCCTCGTATGAATGCTTGCATGACATATAAGATTCAGTTTAGACAGTTTGCAAGAATATTTAGCGTCCCTGTTATAAAAATGATCGCTGCGAGACGCTCGCGGAGTGAACGGGGCTTGAGAGAGTTGTGAGTGAGGGTGCGGGCGCGGGATGTTGCCAGATCCAGCTATTAAAAGCGTTTTTGGACTTGTCTTTTCCACTTAATTTATCACTTTATAAAGTTAATAAAGTAGGAAGTTGCAGTTTAGAGTCAGTGATATCTTTATCTTATCTTATTTGCAAAAGATTGGAAATAATTTTGGTTTATTTTTATTTATTTTTTGTTTGTTTTAGAATCAATATCTGGCAACACTGCATCACCGGCACTTAAACTGAAAGCAATCAAAAAAGCCTATGGACAGCTTTTTGCTGACATGATACAACATTCGGTAAGGGGAACGCAAAAATCATCATGATATTATCTGTCATAAACATTATCAACGCTGTCAAAAACACGCTGCGCTCACAACCATCCTTCCGTTTGGCCTGAGAAAGAGAGCAAACTTTGTTAATTAGTCATTCAGACACTCTTATTCAAAGTGGCAGTACACTTATTACAGAGAGAATCTACTTAGAGGAAACTGAGGTGAAGGTTTTGGCTCAAGGGCCCTATATTCATCCTATAGCTCTACAGTCAATTCTTACAGTTACCATTATTCAGATATTTAACCACCCAGCTACGCAACCTGTTTGAGTGAGATTACAGCAGGTCGTGTAGATATATTTAAGGTTAAGAGAAAATTATTTATTATTCTACTGAACAAAAAGTGAATATCTGTAACACAAAAAAAGTGTTTTTATTTTTCCCCTTCTATTTAACCACTAACATTAAAAGTATATGCACTTTTGTAAAACTTATTATGCAAGCATTTCTGATTACATAGGGGAGGTTGGTTAAACTTTTATCATTAGTGAATATTCTTCAAAGCAGGTTTATTTTTGAAAGTCACTCTCTGTAAACCTGCTCAGTGCTCAAATATTAATAAAGGTTTTTGCTGCTTAATATTTTTATGGAAACAGTTATATGTTTTTCAGGATTATTTGATTAACAGAAAGTTTACATTTTTTTATGTATTTGAAATAGGAATCTTTTGTAATATATTAAATTTCTTTACTGTAATTTTTGATCAGTTTATTTTGAACAGTTTTGATCAGCAATGACCACATTCTTGCTAAATAAATGTATTTATTTCGTTTCTTTTTTTGTCTTTATTATTTAATGTATGTTTGAATAAATCTGTCACAACAAACAAATTGAAGTAGTAACAATCATATTAAAGTTGATATAAAAACTTATGTGAAATGTGTTCCAAGACAATGACCCTAAGCACACAGTTAAAATAATGGAGTGGCTTCACAACAACTCTGTGACTGTTCTTGAATGGCCCAGCCAGAGCCCTGACTTAAACCCAATTGAGCATCTCTGGAGAGACCTAAAAATGGCTGTTCACCAACGTTTACCATCCAACCTGACAGAACTGGAGAGGATCTGCAAGGAGGAATGGCAGAGGATCCCCAAATCCAGGTGTGAAAAACTTGTTGCATCTTTCCCAAAAAGACTCATGGCTGTATTAGATCAAAAGGGTGCTCAGCAAACTGAGCAAAGGGTCTGAATACTTAGGACCATCTGATATTTCAGTTTTTCTTTTTTAATAAATCTGCAAAAATGTCAACAATTCTGTGTTTTTCTGTCAATATGGGGTGCTGTGTGTACATTGAGGAAAAAAAATTAACTTAAATGATTTTAGCAAATGGCTGCAATATAACAAAGAGTGAAAAATTTAAGGGGGTCTGAATACTTTCCGTACCCACTGTAGAGTCTCTTGGTGTTCTAAATGATTTTCACAGGCATTTAACTGTATTATGATCAGGATATGCAGATAAACTGTTACTTATGAGCAAACCATGAGACCCAGGACACAAGCTACCATTGAAGAAGTTCATCAAAGTTCATTAAAGCTGAATAACCTTTTGTGCCCCTAACATCACCACACAGAACTGCAAAATGATTGTTGTTAACTGGTCATGGTATTCCCTGTTGAAAAAAGAGTGATATGCTGGTTAGGTATGTTTTGAAGCTGGGATGCTGGTTTGAGCTGGTTTAAGCTGGTCCTTTGCTGGTTTATGCTGGTCCTTAGCTGGTCAGACCAGCATAGGATCAGCACATGACCAGCTAAGGACCATCACCTTCTATCTGCCATATGCCTTCTATCTGCCATATGCCTTGTGCTTTATATACATTTTTTTTTTGTATATTTTGTATATTTATTTGTATAGTTGAGTTTTGTATTTTGTATTTAATCTGTATCTATCTGTATTTATGTTCTACTGTAGTGTTACCTGTATGCACCAAGGGTCTGAGAGTAACGCAATTTCAATTCTCTGTGTGTATGTGCTGTACATGTGGAAGAATTGACAATAACGCAGACTTGACTTGACTTGACTAAACCAGCAAAGGACCAGCTTAAACCAGCTCAAGCCAGTATCCCAGCTTCAAAACATACCTAACCAGCATATGCTGGCTTTTTCAACAGGGTTTACATCTTAAAAGTACTGATAAAAACATTTATGTGGATTTTATTACCCAATACTTGAGTTCACTATGCATTTTTATGCTTATTAGTGTACCACATCATTAGCTTAGCAATATGCTAACATCTGAACATAACATAACATAAGCTAACATCTCAACATAAAAATTAACAGTAAGTCCCATATGTTTTACATTAGGCATGCTGATGGGCAGTAAAAATGTTGCTTTAAAAGTCAGCAAGGCAGCCCACTAGGTTTTGGAACAGAACTCTTGTGCCCTGTTATCATGTCATTCATATGGTATCTGAAAACAATGGGTTTCTCTTAAGGGCAGAGGGTATTGAAACAGAGTATCCTGTGAGTGTTTATAAAGCATCACTCACATGATTTTAAACTTCTCAAATATCTGCCATGACAATGACGGTCACACAGAAAACGCTCTGACTCAACTGAGAAATTTATTTCCTATGATCAATGACCAACATATCTGTACATGCCATGCACATCACAACACAGTGCGTTTTTGACACCCATATCACTAATTTTCTTCTGGTTATGTCACATTATAGCGTCAATATATCCTCGGAGGAAACGTGTGTCATTTACATTATGAAATAATGGCAGTAGAATCCCATTCCGCCGCAGGATGTGTGTTTGTGGTGGGCTCTGAAAACATCACACTGACTCTGGGTCATTCTGGCTGCCAAATAGACCAGACTGCGGTCTAGCCCTGAGGGAGATGGACGTTGAAGATTGTATACAGTGTATGAACAGACAACATGGCTTCAATTTTACCTTATCAATTCGAGCCCGAGTCTGACGAGGAAGCGTCCAGAGTTGCTGATGAACCAGTACGTCAATCACAAACACGAATGGAGCAGGACCTTTCTCAATGGTACGTGTCACCGTTTATGGCACTTTGACGTATATGCGTAACAGTCAAATTAACTGACAAATTTATTTAGGTATCAAAGTCTTCGCCAAGAGACGCCCTTCTGGGCCACCCAAAGCCCCAGTTCCACATCCCCCCAGTATGCCCTGACCAGGAGCTGAAACCAAAGGCAGGAAGTGTCCGATAAACAACTGTCCACCCCTGTCAGACAATCCCAGGGACAGTCTCCTATCGTGCAGGTACACCCCGCTACATCCATCTGGTCTGAGCCGTCCTTCCCAGGCAGAACGCATTCGGTACACACCCCATTCCTCTGAGTGAGCATGGCAAAGCCTGCTGGTCCCTGCTATGACTGCTTTCCTCTGCTGATCTTCTGATGATGTGATTCTTTCGCGCTTTTTGCGATCCCTCCCTCTCTCTCTTGCTCTATCTTTCAGAGTGGGAAGGTAGAGAGCACATGCATGAGGTTTCCATTGAGACACGGAGCACGTCAGGGAGAGAGTGAAGCTCGGAAAGAGACCGTCGGAGCAAAACCAGCGACACCGCAAGCACACATCAGCCTGCGCTAGACAAGATGCCTATCTCTTCTTACTTACCATGTTTCTTATTTGTTTGTTCTCCATTGCTCAAATGCAAAGCTACTGTACTGCCTGTCTCAAATGTAACTCTAACCCTAAGAATTTGGTATGTAATTCATCCAGCATATTTGTACAACAGAACATGAATGATAATAGTCTGACTTACGATTTACTTGATGGTAGGCTCTTCTGGCTTGGGCCAGTAAACAAACATCTGGCAACCACACAGAACACCCTAGCAACCTACATAACAATGCACTACAAATCACCTAGAACATACTATTGTGTTCCTTCCTGAAAAAAAGATCTCTATGAAGATGTACTGTTACTTCCTCTACAGTCAAAAATCTGGGTGTTATATTAGATAGCAACTTGTTTTTTGAAAATCATATTTCCCATGTTACAAAAACAACATTCTTCCATCTTAGAAACATTGCCAAGTTACGAAACATGTTACCTGTTTCTGATGCAGAAAAGCTAGTTCATGCATTCTTGACCTCTAGACTGGACTATTGTAATGCACTGCTAGGTGGTTGTCCTGCATCTTTAATAAACAAGCTACAGGTAGTGTAAATGCAGCGGCTAGAGTACTTATCAGGTCAAGAAAATATGATCATATTACTCCAATTTTACAGTCTCTGCACTGGCTACCTATTAAGTTCTGTATCAGTTACAAAATATTATTACTTACCTATAAGGCCCTTAATGGGTTAGCTCCTGCGTACCTAACTAGTCTTCTACCACGCTACAATCCATCACGCTCCCTAAGGTCGCAAAACTCGGGACTTTTGATAGTACCTAGGATAGCAAAGTCCACTAAAGCAGGTGGAGCTTTTTCGCATTTGGCTCCCAAACTCTGGAATAGCAATAGGATTGACATCCCGTGGTAACTAGGATTTACACAAGCTTCAGTCTGGATCCAGAACACCTGAGAAGAGATGATACCAACCCCTCAGAGGACCTCAGATGATGCCAACCCTGAAACAACATATAGAACTACCACATTTTGCTATAAGTTTGATTGCATCATAATAATTGCTGTTAATAGTGTTCATCGTCTGTTTGATTATGTCTTTAATTGATTTTTCCGTACATTTCTGCCATATGTACAGTGCATTAACTGACATTCCCCACTGATAAGCTACCACTAAATATTGTAGAAACGTAATTTGCTGTAAAGTTGCTTTGCAACGATTTGTATCATAAAAAGCGCTATACAAATAAACTTGAATTGAATTGAATATTGTAAAGGCAATTGCTGCACAGGTGAGTAACACACTTCTCACCAGAAGATGGCATCCACAGCAGAACTATAAAAGTTGAGGGTACTCAAGGACCAGGGTTGGGACCGACTGAGATAGAGAGTGAAAAGTGCTTATGAAAAACTAATAGGGTACCTTCGTACTATTCTTTTTTTTTACCTTCAGTGTATAGCTGTTTGTGTTTGTAAAAGATCTGCAAAGTTACAAAGCACAAAGTTAATA